GATCATGTTACATGTAGCCTGTATCTTATAATCTGAAACAGCACAGATATATAAGGAAGAACAAGTCCACAATTTTTTCTTTAAATAATTGAAATGTTAAAAAAGAAAAGTATATTGTGTTACAGATAGATTTGTGGTGTGCAACTTTCACATTGAAAGATAATGGGAATCTCAGTTGAGGCATGGAGGCTGAGAATAGGTTGTTTTACACACTCTTCCTCGGCCAGCAGTGAAGATGACCCTCACAGAAACAGCCACCGGAAACGAAAGTGTAGAACATCAAATCATGATTGTGTAGCCAAGGTCTTGCCTGTTGAACAAAATGAGGAGTTGCCCAGTGCCCTGGGGACTAAAAGATTGAAACCAGCCTCTCCTAGAAAATCCTTTGCACAGCAGTTATGCACTTATATTCCAAATCTCAGAGGTAATGGAGGCAATTCACAGACTTGCTTTAAAAAATCAGTTTTATTTATTTATTTATCTATTTTAAGTAATTGATTAATTTTTGTATTTATTTTATTTGTTTATTTATTTTTGAGGGAGGGACAGGGATAAGAGTTCTGCTCCAGAGTTGTTTCAAACTCTTACCTTTAAACTTTTTTAAGGGATGACATCTGTTCATTTTGGCCAAAAAATGAATGTTCTTGGGGTAAACAACAATTTTCCCATACTTACCAATGGTTAATGAATCCATTTCTACATTCAAATTTAGTCCCTATTTTTTTTTTCAAAAAAGTTTTTTTTTTTGCAATAATCTCTTAAGTGATTATTACAGAGTACAGCCATCTGTGGAGGTCACATGGTTGGATGACAAGCACAGATTTCAGAATAATTGTTTAAACTGCCATTTTTTTTGTTGTGAAATTGAATATATATTTTTATGAGTTTTTTACAATGTTTTTATTGTGAAGTATAGATCTCATACGAAGAGTTGTTATCCCTTTAACTTAGAGCTTACAATTTTTAGAGCCATGTCTCTCTTTCTCTCTCTCCCTCTCTCTCTCTTATGTGACTATATTAAATGATTAAGACTATTTTACTGCTAAAATGTGATCCAAAGATTTTACTTGTCCTTAGAAATTTAGGTTCAACATAATAAGCAATTCATGTACTTAGAATGCTTTAAAAATCCTGTGCTTCATTCTTTTAATATCTCCCTCCCTCTCCTTTTTTTTACTACATTTTTTTCACTCTTGTGCACATGTTTCAGGGTCTCCAGAGAATGTCATCCATAAAATTAAATAAGTGCAACCTTAAATAGACATGAATGTACCCACATGGACTTTTTTGTTCTGTTTTTCACATTATTAAAAAAAAAATTGATGTTAAAGGGCACCTGTCAGCCGGCCTGAGACTGCTGTTGTTAATAGGACTACTGTTGCTGGTGGCAGGAGATGTGGAGGCCAACCCAGGACCCAGTACAACACCTGGTTCTGAACAGGTTTGTGGGAATGTAAATTACTAATTAAGCTGCATTCACAGTGGCTGACTAACTAGTCCGAAGATCAAGTATGGTGACCCACTTTAAAGTTTGCCATCTAGTGATCTCCTTAACCGAATAGAATCCCATAGGGATTACGCAACAAGTATTCAAGTGAGGCGGCCATATTTATTCCACCGACTACATAGTCCACTGTTGTGAATGAGGCCTTAGAGCATATTCAGAACAGTGAACTAACAGCTACATGTAGGTCCACAGATCAGATATAGTGACCCACTAAAAAGCTTGCCACTTACTTCTCGATAAGACATTGAATAGATTCCCTACTTGGATTATGCAACAAGCATTCAAGTGGATCGGGCTTATTTGATCCACGGATCTGTTAGGGCCATTCAGAAGTATGATGGCTGATGATCCGAGTACTAACTGATCTGCCGACTAAATTAGGCCGATCCGACTTCAAAAGCGATGCCGCTGATTCCCGATGGTCTCCCCACCTCCACACACGCCATTAAACGTATCAAATCTCGGCTCCAAGGTTTAATTGCTAGGTCCCTGCAGTGATGGCACATGTGGATACAGGGAGACCAACATGGAATTAGCAGCATTGCTTTTAAAGTGGGGTCGCCCATATTTAGTTGGTGAATCAGTTACTGGTAGTACTTTGATCATCTTCTCTGAATGGCTCTTTAATTTGCTTTTTTAATAATAATAATAATAATAATAAAAATATTAATAATAATAATGAGTTCTTCGTTATAACCATCTTATAATTACTTTTGGTTCATTGATTGATGATATCAATATTTTAATAAAATGATTTCATATAAAAAATTTGTATTTTTATTTATTTATTTTATTTATTTTTTCTTTGATTTAATGTTTTATATATCTAACATATTGTGGTAAACATTGTTATTTGCAAGATTTTGATTTTCATTGATTTTCTTGTTTCTTATTTTTTGAGTTCATGCAACTTTTCTATAGTCTTATAGTAGAGTTAACATTTAAAATTTGTTAAAATGTGTTTTTAAAGAATTTTTATTATTTTATTATTAAAGAACAATGGGAAAGATCCTGCCAAAGAAGAACTGTAAGTTAAAATGATTTTTACAATTTCTAACACCGCTGTTATTTCAATAATGTTTATACACAAATTTTTGTCTAAAAGTGTACATAAGGATAAGAATCCAGCTTGCTTTTTAGTTTCCTTAGAAGTGCCTTGCAAAGATTCTAGGTTTCATATTTTGTAAAACTCATTTTAAAATTAACATTTTCAGGCAAGCTCAGCCCATATCCCCAGAACAACCACAAGCTCATGATGAAGAAGTAAGTAGAGAATATCAGAAAATACATGGAAATTGTTATTTACTACTATACCTTAGGCCCCTATTTCACACAGACCACGAATCCCACGAATCGCCAGGAATTGACAAATTTTAGGATTCGTGAGATTTTGCCAATTTTCTGGTCTAATTCGACATGCTCTACGATTCAGTTACGATACAGGTGCGATAGTGTTACGAATATTCGTGGGATTCGGCTGGAATCGCACGAATATTGTCCAGAAATTCACTACGATTATTTGGAATCGGGAGCTCGTGGCAAAAACTATAAACAGCTCAAAATTTTTGCCACGAATTCCGGATTGATCAAGAATTGCAAGAACTTACTACAATTATATACGAATCTGTTAAGAACTTCACGAACTGATTACGATTCAACCAAATTTTCAATTCCTGGCGATTCGTGGGATTCGTGGTCTGTGTGAAATAGGGGCATCAAAGTTTTTGCCACCCGTTCCTGTTGGTCAAGAAGTGCAAGAACTGACTATGAATATATACGAATCTGTTAAGAACTTCACGAACTGATTACAATTCAACCACGAATCGTGAAATTTTTCAAATCATGGCCATTCGTGGGATTCGTGGTCTGTGTGAAATAGGGGCATTAGAGCACATTCAGAACAGAAGACTAACAGATCCTGGGGTAGCGCTAACACTCGCCAATTTAGCCAAATGCTAAAACTGACTTAAATTGGCTAAAGAAAAAGTGCTTGATTTGACTTGTTTTAGCCAAATTATAACCATTCAGATAACAAATTGACAAAAATGTGCTGATTTGGCTAAGCAAAAAAAAATTGCTAGCGCTACCCCTGAGATCCGTAGATCAAATATGGCCGACCCACTTGAATGGTTGTTGTGTTATCCCTGCAGGAAATCTGTTCAGTGTCTAATTAGGAATTAAGCAGTGAGCTTTGAATTGGGTCGCCATATTTGATCCGTGGATCTGTTATTCAGCTGTTCTGAATGGGCTCCTGTATGTACTGAGTAAAAACATACAGCCAACCAGCTCTTTGGGCTACTAGTGTTTTTCCAACCACTGTCCCACAGAACAAATGGTGGACATTAAAGAACACGTTTTTAAGAAAAATGACCCCCCCCCCTCCCTTTAATTTTACTTGAGCCCATTTGTAGTCTGAGGTCTGAGGTCTTGGGTATTTTGTTCTTATAGATTTGATTTTTTTTCTTTGCAGATTGCCAAATATGAGGAGGAGGTTATGGTGTATTTGGAGCGTGGCAAAGAACCATTTAAAAGAGGGGAATTTGATGTTGCTGCAGAGCATCTAAGCAGAGCACTGGAATATGTGGAGAAATTCCACCTGCAGAAAGGCATTTGTATCACCCCCCATCAGCTGCTGGTTGATGTTTATTTCAATCGCTGTTTTTGTTATCAGATGATGGTATGTTGCTGAGAGATTTTTATATTCATATATGTTTTTGGTCGTCTTTGAAATTGTCTGTAGTGTGTAATTGTGTCTGTCTGTCTAGATGTCCGTCTGTGTGCCTGTCTGTAATTATGCAATTTACATGCTTAATGCATGTCCGCACTTGCATTTAAAGGTTTAATCAGTGACTTGAAAAGATTATTTAAAATATTTTTTTTATTCACCCAAGTCTATTGAACCATCTGTTTTGTGACTATTGCAATAACATGATTTTTATACCAATTGCATTATTTTTTATCTTCCAGGGTGAGGGCCATTATCTAATGGCATTGAAAGACCTGCACAAAGGTAAATTTGTTAATTTTTTCAAAATGTCTCTCTCCATTGGTTGCACATGGGGGAATTGATATAAATTTGGAACAGTTTGTTGTCAACTTTCAAATAAATAGAATTGATAGGTATATTTTTTATGGAAGCAGCAAATATTGTTCTTGTCTTGGCTGTCACTTACATTAACTACAGTAAAAACTTGAACATTTACTTGGTCTTGAAAATTTTGTTGAATGACAATTCTCTACCGACCAAAGTTTTTCACTTTGAAAATACAGTAAAACTTAAAAATAGGCCTCTCCAATCTTTTGAATAGTTCATCACCTTATATGACCATGTCAGATTCAAGCATTTAAAAATATTAATTGATATTTAAATGACGAAATTTTAAAGTTTTTATCTCAATGGGCTGACCTGGCTGAATTGTCGGTTAAACCACAGGGTGTACAATTATTAACTGAATTAATTCTTTCTTGTGACATGATTTTTCAGTTTCTATTGAGACATTGTGATATTTTTAACCAAGTAAATTTTTGTATGGAAGCAAGATGTAGTTCAACGCTGTTTTAAACAGCTTTTTGGAGAACAGTGGATTGCAAGAGGCCTAATAGAAATGATTGCGTATAGGTCTACAGGATCAAATTTGTATATTGTAAATTTTTACTGCAGCGTGAAACCCAGGATCAATACCAGTAAATGTACTATATGATTTAATTGATAAGGAATGATAATTTCAAAGTAATTAAAGTGTAAAGAAGTCATGAAGACATGAAATCAAGAGGGTAGCATATAATAGATAAATTGTATAATCTGACTTTTACATCTATATGCTTGACAAGAGCATCACATTAAGCCAATATTGTTATTCTTTCAGCCATTGTGTACTGCAGTGAAATTACTATGATAATTGATGAATTCCGTGTTCGAGGGGATATACTATTAAGCATGATCAGCAGACAGATTAGGGTTGACAATGACAGAAATCAGGTATAGTGTACCCTAACTTTTTCAGATGCATAAATTTAGAATTAAAATTTGCAGACTAGCTGTTTGCATGATTTGTGGTACTTCTTCTTTATAGAATAGAAGTATTAATAGGTAGCCTTCTTTCCAGTTTTGTTGCTACCACTCCATAGGAATGTCCTTGATTCTGAGGTCTTACAATAGTGTTAAAATGCAATCAAAGTTATGATATTTAATTGTCTAAGATAGAAACCAGAAATAAATCCTTACAAAATGTATGCCTTTTTGTGTGTGTAGGTGGAGGAAGCAAAAAGAGTTATCGATGTCATGAAAAAAGATGGCATCATTGGGTTCAACAAACAAGAATACATGAAAGCCTTAGCAATATTTGGTAATACATGCAAACTGGCTAACCTCTTGCGTAACTGGAGAGATAAAGGTGCAGACGTGATTCTGGCCGATGTGCAAGTGAGGTTTGCAGAAGCATTGTTCACGTGGGTGAGTATTCAGAAAATTGGTAACTGAATAGGTGAAAGCATTTAACCATCTCATTTAAAGTATTGACCTGCAGAAAGAAAGGCAGAAACCAGCATTTGAAATATATGCTCCAAAGCTAAATAATGTACTGCCATAGACTGTAAGGATGATAAAAAACTCACTCTTTTAAAATCCTGTTAAATACTGACATTATTTAAATAAAATTTTGAAGTCTTTTATAAACCATTTGTTTTTAAATGGTTGCTTTACATCTTAGTTGATATGGAATGTCTTAAATGGCTTTAATAGGCAATTGGCATTCCATGGCATCTTGTCAGACTTGAAATGGAGTTAGAGTGAGGTGGAGTAAAATGTTTTAGTGATAAAGGTGAAATATTATATGTGCCACAAATGCGGCATCATAAAACCTTAAAAAAGGTATATGCAAAAAATGATGAATTTGTAATGATGATGCTATACATTGTTATTTGACTGACCTTATAAGGAACAACCTTAAAATATATGTAGATACACTGTATATAACTTCTACCAGCTAATTTCAATCTTTGATGCACCGCACTGGCTAGTCTGCCATAATATCTGCCATAATTTTTTTTCATATGGTCTAAATGTCATGAGCAATTTCAAGCTATCTTCTTCAGGATTTTCAGTTTTTACAAATATTCCCCCACGTATACATCACTTTTTACATTTATCAGCATCTAACAACTGACCAGGATATAAAACCAGTATCATTCACTGTTACAATTGATAGCTTTAATTATTATATTTTTCATTGCAGAACACTGTTTTAGGGCTTCATCTTCAGCGTGTGTTTCGTATGATATCAATGAAATTCCAGGAATGTAAGGACATTATGTTTTTTTTAGTAACATGACTTTCTTATACATTGATATATTTGTAGTTACAATAAAAAAGTGTTACCTCCCAATCCCATTTCTAATATTCTAATTTGTCACGTCAGGTCTTAGGTAAGGGAGGCTGTTTAAAAACATGATTAGACGTCATAGTTATCAGTTCAGACTAATTAAAAACACGA